AGGAGCGGAGCCACTGCAAAGCAGTGTCTCCGACCCCCAATCCCGCAAGCCTATCCAGAAGGATACCATGGTCGATGGTATCGAAAGCCACTGAGAGGTCCAGGAGAACCAACAGAGACGCACTCCCCCTGTCCTTCTCCCTGCACAGGTCATTGTACAGGGCGACCAAGGCAGATTCAGTACCGTACCCGGGTCTGAAGCCAGACTGAAATGGGTCCAGATAATCAGTTTCATCCAAGAGTGCTTGGAGTTGTCCCGCCACCACCCGCTCTAACACCTTGCCCAGAAACGGGATGTTGGCCACCGGTCTATAATTAGTGGCCATCTCTGGATCCAGTGACGCCTTCTTCAGGACCGGTCGGACTACCGCCTCCTTTAAAGGGGCAGGCACCCAACCCTCCCTCAGTGAAGCGTTAACCACTTCCAAGATCCAGATCCCAATCCCGTGCTTGGAATTATTTATTAACCAAGACGGGCAAGGGTCCAGTAGGCAAGTGGTGGGACGTACTCGTCCAAGCACCTTGTCCACATCATCGGGCCGCAGTAACTGAAATTCATCCAATAAATCTGGACCAGACGGCAGCATTGATGTCTCCCTAAAAACCTCTGAATCAATAGTGGAATCCAGCTTGTGACGAATCTGAGCGATTTTCTCCCTCAAATGCCTGGCAAAGTCATTACAGCGGGCCTTTGAGGGTGGAACCAGGTCTTCCTTCGGACCTGGACGAACCAGGCCTTGCACCACTCGAAAGAGCTCCGCCGGACGGCATTGTGAGGAGGCAATGGAAGCGGAAAAAAATCTCTTTTTCGCCGCCCTCACCGCCACAGCATAGGCCCGATAGTGGGCTCTCAAGTGTGTTCAGTCAGATTCATCCCGTGATTTTCTCCACCTACACTCTAGCCATCTCCCAACCTGCTTCATCACCCTCAATTCAGGAGTGTACCAAGGGGAAGAGCGGGCTCTGCCCGGTGGGAGAGGACGCTTAGGAGCGATCGTGTCCACAGCCCTGGTCATCTCCCTGTTCCACAGTTCGACCAGAGCCTCGACAGGAGCACCCGTCTTGTCAGCCGGAAACTCCCCCAGGGCCTTCAGGAATCCTTCCGGATCCATCCGGCTCCAGGGGCGGACCCACACAATCAGGTCCGCACCCTTACAGAGGGAGAGGTCGCTCTCGAGCACAAACCTCACTAGGAAGTGATCTGACCATGACAGGGGAGTCAAGCATAAATTCCTCACCCTCAGACCACCCTCTTCCTGCCCCGTCGAGAAAACCAGGTCCAGAGTGTGTCCACGTTCATGGGTCGGGCCGATGACATGTTGAGACAGCCCCATGGCTGCCATGGAGGCCATGAAGTCCTGAGCCACCCCGGTCAGATCAGTCTCGGCATGGAGATTGAAGTCCCCCAGGACCAACATCCTGGGGGTCCTCAACACCAGGTCCGAGACGGTCTCCGTCAGCTCAGGCAGGGAGACTGTTGGGCAGAAGGGTGCATGGTACACCAACAGAATCCCCAGTCTGTCTCAGTCGCCCAACACCAAGTAGAGACACTCCAGCCTTGGTCTCGAAGGGTCAGGAAGTCCCGTGAGAGAGATGGAAGCTCGGTAAACCAAAGCGACCCCCCCTCCCCTCCCCTCCGGGTGCGAACATTGCTGAACCAGATACCTGGGCGGGCGCAGTTGGGAGAGGGCCACATCCCCCCCTTCTCCCGCCCAGGTTTCTGTAATGTAAGCCAGGTCGGCCCCCTCATCCACAATGAAATCATGGATGAGGGAAGATTTGTTATTGACCAACCTGGCATTAAGCAACAGCACTGTCAGGCCCGAGGGGCGGCTGACAAGACTCCCTGGCACCCTCTGGCTGGGGGCAAAACCAGAAGTAGGGACAGGTGTCAGCCATCTGTCCCTCCTCCTTCTATGCAGACATGTTAAGCTCCCACCGCTGTTACGTCCATTGCCCAAAACCACCCCAATGGCGGCGCCCGTGCGCTCCCCAGGAAACACAAGCGGCGACATGGCCAGGGACGACTCCATAACACAGCTTAAAATACAATAAAATTATAAAAAACAGTTAAAAACTCCCCCTTCCCTCGGCTATATGCCCAGTTCAGCGGCTGCAGCAGCCACACTATCACTGTAAAATGCAGCCTAGCAGGAGGGCCAATTATAGCGCAGCCAATCAAAGCCCCCTGGCCAGCCCAGCCCCCCGCTCGGCCCCCGAACAGCTCCCAAACGGCGGCGACCGCCCTTCGGCCATCGCCCTTCGGCCATCGCCCTTCACCGAGTTCGCCGGTCGGGCGGTGGAGCTGGCGGTGCGGGCGTTCGCTGCCGAGCGGCGGCATGGAGTCCCGGGGCATGGAGGAGGTGCGTCCCTTCAGCGCGTAGTTGTTTCTGCCGGTTCTCCCCGGCCGCCGCCAGCGCTTTCAGGCCACAGGGCCTCCCGACGCTCCGCCCCGTCCGGAGCACGTCTCTCACCCGTGCAGGGGCGTGGCAGGCTGGCGAGCCGGGTCCTGGTGACTGCCTGGTGGAGTTCGCCGGTCGGGCGGTGGAGCGGGCGGTGCGGGCGTTCGCTGCCGAGCGGCGGCACAGAGTCCCGGGGCGCGGAGGAGGTGCGTCCCGTCGGCGCATAGTTGTTTCTGCCCTTTTCTGTTTGTCCTTTACGCTGATTTGCTACTGTGAGCTACTTAGTGATTTGTGCAATGAAATTAATGTACCTTTTCCCCATTCTGTACTTTCTGTACTTCCCCATTCTGAATCCAATATATATCTTTTACCTTGTTTTTACTAAAACACAGATGGTGTGCTTTAGAGGTATAAGAGGGGAGGCTCACAAGCGGCATGCTAGTTTTTTGGGTCACACTATGCTGCTTCAACACCCAGGTTACATGCATCCTGGATACCTGAAGGAATGCCTTTTTCCCTATGTGCCGGCCTGCCCTTCAGATCTGAGGCAGAGGTCCTTCTCCGGGAATCCTCTTTGAAGGAAGTTAGGAGAGTAGCTACTCGGAGAAGGGCCTTTTCAACGGTGGCGCCCTGACTGTGGAACATGCTTTATTCTTTTCTGGATCAGGCAAAGACCTTTTTATTTACCCAACATTTTAACAGTTAATTGGTTTTATCCTTATTTTTATCATTATTTATCAGATGCTGTATCTTTTATGTTGTTGTTGTTATGGTTTGCTTTGTTTTTTGTTTTTTGTAAGCCATCCAGAGACTTTTAGTATTGGGACAGCATATCAAAACTGTAAAGAAAGAAAGAAAGCAAGCCCAATGCAGAGGACCCGCCCCCCCTTCCCCATAGGATCCTTGGCCAGTTGTTCAGAGACTAAGAGGAGACTGGAGCAAGGTATTCTTGCTGCTGACGCCTGGTACCAGGGGGCAGTGGAATACCAGTTCTTATACCCTCAGACAGGGTTGCCTGCAGGACCCAGGTTGCCGCATGTGCTAATTGAACAGAAAGTGTTGAATGGTTTTTATTTATTGTAATTCCCTTGTTCAGGACTTGTCTTTCTGACTTTGTGCAGATTTCTTGGCAAGTGACACCTCTAGGACATATGCCATTTTTGTACAAATTGTCAAAAAGTCTGGTGGAGGAGGAGAAATGAATCACTCCCAACCTTCACTTCAAACCTAAATAGTCCTCTTCCATCTATCATTATCTATCCTTTGGTAATTTTGCAGATTAAAGTTCCCCTTTTAAAAAATCTAATTTAAGGATGCATAGCACAATTTCCCCTGCACTTTTTTGTCTGTGGTTTGGCAGGTTTGATCTGCAAGTGTTATCCAGTTGTGACAAACAGAAAAAGAGTTGTGGCCATTTGTTGCTTTCCAGATATAGTCTATGGGAGGCATGAAGACAAAATTTTGAATTGAAACTTGTTTCCGACCTAAGCTGAAGTGGGCAGCATCTAAATTGGTACAAACCAAATCAGATCCTTGCCAAATCTTATGATCTGTTCATGCCTCTAGTAGAACCTTCCCTCTTGTATGTGCATAGTAGTTGTGCTATGGCTGCTGATAGCATTGTGACACACAACATAACAGCTTATTAGTATGAAGTAAATTTTACATCATGTTAGGGCAGGAACTCCTAGCATGGCAACCATGGGCACTTGGATTTCTTTTTTTTTAATTTTAATTTCCCCCATTCTATAAGTACATGGATTTGTATGAAAGACATACAACTTTCTAGCAGTTTTGCATAGGCTTCAACAAGGGTGATCTGAACAGTCAAATAAATATATACTTGAAGGTTGTGTCTATATGTCACTCCTTCAGGTACTAAAATTGTTGCATGGTTTCCAATTCATTGCATTATAGTATAATTTAATATTTCAATCTTGATCCTTGCAATCTTTAAGCTGTTAAAAGAATGCGGAGAATCCATGTGCCCTTCTATTTCTAATTTTTATGAAGCGAGTAAATAATTTTTACATCAGTGAAGGCATCATTGCAAAACTTATCCATGTAATAACACCCTTCCCAAAGAAGCAACTAGTAGATGTTGCCAAAGCATGTATTTAAAATAAGCATTAGCTATATTGCACTGCCCACAATTAGCTGAATTAGACAAGCCCTTACTTGTCTAACATTACTTATGAAATGTTGCAGTGTCTGATAGACATAAGATGTACTTTTGAATAAGATGCAGCCTAAGATCAATAAATGTAACAGGTAGTTGCCAAAGTGATGATCCACTAGTTAGACATTTGGTAATGATGGTCAGAGCAGTTTCTCAAATTTTAAATGTGCCCAGAAGTCCAAAAAGGTTGGGGAACCCTGTATTTGCAGGCAACTCAGAATGTGCTTCTGTTTTCAGCTGCATACCCCTGCTTCTAATAATGTTACAATTCCATCCATGGAAAGGAATTCTATCCACTGTTTCCCCTTCTGGCCCCACATCCCAAATTTTAATCTTCCAAAGAGTAAACCTGAGTAAAGTTGTTATGTGCTTGTATATTTTGAAAGGAATAAGCCTCAGAATTATAACTGTTTCTTCCAGATGCTGACAGGCAAGATTCAATCAATCTGTTTCTGGGCGTATTTCAGCCTGAAGAAGGGAAGCCTCATCTCTGGGAACTCCCTACAGATTTTTATCTGCATCAGAAGGACACAAGGACTCTTCTTCAGACTAGACGAAGGTATTTCACAATGGAACTATGGTTGTCTTACAGATGTACAGGTATATAATTAAGAGAAATTAGGGATATTAGCATCCATAACCATGTGTGGGGCAGTGGTTAAAAAAAAAAAAAAAAAGGAAAAATACGTCTCTGTCAGAGACTTTCTTCTTTTTACAAGTCTCCTGCAAGGGAAAGTGGGGGATTTGTGAGGAAATGGGTGTGAAGGTTTAACCCTTCCTTACTGGAATTCTGTGGTCTCATTCTGAATTGGAGCTACATGCACTAATACAGGAGTAAAGGAAGCTATCACACATAGTTATATACTATGCAATTAGGGTGTTGTTTGTCCCTTAAAAACCACAGTTCCTAGGTCTTGTCTGCACCTAATAGAACAAGGGTGTGTTGAGGTAGGGTGGGCCTGTAAAAGCATCCTGCTGTTCAACATTTGCTTTGCTTTTTTTTTTTTTAAGAAAGCAAGGCTAGGTATGTTTCGGAGCACAAGAACAGCAAACACCTTCAAAAATGTGTGTGTTGTTCATTTGAAACATTTCTAGGCCACTTTCCCAGAGGGCTTGGAGCAGCTTACATAAAATAAAAATTCAACAAACAAAAAGAGCACTGTTTTATAACAGTCAACAAAACAGACACTAAATTCTCAAAAGAAATGAGCCAGGAGGGCAAGTTTTCAAGGAAGGATGCTAAGAAATATGTGAAATTTGCTTAGCATCTTCTTCCTTATTAGCACAAGTCATCATGCTAATTTGTGTTCCAGGAGGATTTGCCCTTGTCACTTGTGTTTTGTGCCTTCAGTAAGCAGTATTTCCATGTGAGCCCCAGTGTCAAAATCAAAATTGGTTTTGTATTCTCAGTATTTGATAATATGCATGTTCCCTTCACTATCAACATAGACTAAAGGTTATTTATAGACTAAGGGTACATTTCTGGTTTCACTTGTGTTTTTCTCCCAATTCACACACTCACATTTTATTACTATATTTTTAATGTATATTTTTACAGAAAACCAAAATTTAAGCAAAGGACAGAATCTTAACCCGCTAATATTTCAGTTTAACTGAATTGACCAGGGTTTAAAGCACCCAGTGACATTGCAAAGTTTGTTGTTATTGTTTTTGAACTTTTCATCATTTATAGTTATAACAACAATTTGATGTTATAACTGCAGCCATGTGTATGGACTTTGGACACCAATAGATTTCTACAGTATATATTAATATAGCTATGCTGGGCCTACCAACACTAAAAGAATTTTTTCATAGAGGACATTTACCCAATTGAGACTATAAACAGTTCTAGCCAAGGAGGAGTTTTGACTTTTCACACTAAGGTATCAGATCAGATTATTCTTCAGTCAAACAAATAGCAGAATGTTAGACCAGTTCCACGATACATATAACAATATTTGTGGGAACCTCAATCCATTTCCTTATGTGTATGAATTGCATTTCCATTGTGGGTCATGGCAAAGAGTCTTGAGAGCCTACAATGCTTTTCCTGTGTACATCACAAGTGAAAGGAACCTCCATAAAAGGACAGAAGTCATGTTTTGGACCTCAGCCAAATATATTGAACCAATTTTGAGACACACAGCAGCTCTCCTATTTTCATTATAATCAGTGCTTTTTTTGTCATAGAACTCACCGGAACGGAGTTTCGGCACCTTTTTTCAACAGATTTTCCAAGTTTTAAAAGTAACTTTTGAAAATTTGATGTTTGGTCCATACGGATTCGAATCGCCCTGTCGAGCATAGCAGGCCGGCAGCAAAATCATGCAAATGGTGCATGTGGGCTGCTTGTGTGTCGAATCTCATACATGCGTACTTTGTCTGCACTGGTTGTGATGGTGCTGCTCGGCTTGTAGCGATGCTTGGCTTGTGATTGGTCATGTGGTCACACGCTGAGTGCTTACTGCAGGCGGTGACCGTTATGTTTCGTTACACAACTGATGTGTGTGGGTGTGTGTACAGTGATTGATTATGTGCGAAAGGTAAATAATTTCATGAGTTCTGGCACTTTTTTCCTTACAAAAAAAGCACTGATTATAATTATTGACAATGTAACTCTGGTACAGTTTATATATAAAAGGGAATTGTTGTTAGAAATGTTTAATTTAAAAATTATAGTTATAAATGTAAATACAATATATTTAATAAATTTATTATAATGGACAGTCTAACAATGGGTGAGGGAAATATTAGAAATGGGACCACAAGAATCTATCCTGGAATCAGTGCTTTTTACCTTGGTCATAAATTTCCTGGAAATAGCATGAAGTGCCCAGGTTTGCTAATAGCACAAAAGTATTCAGGGAGCTGGAAAAAAAAAGGGGGGCGGGGGATTTCAAAGACCTCCTAAGGGATCTCTCCAAATTGTATGGCATTTAAAAATGGCAATAAGCAGTTCCAGGTAAATAAGTGTAATGTATGTGTGTGAGAGAGGGTGAAATTCTGCTTTTACAGTTACACAAATGGGGGTTGATCTGGTGATGATTAACCATGGGCTTTGGCATGTCTCACTATATTTGAGGCAGGATTCAAGTGGAATTAGTGCATCTAGAATGATTATTTACTTTCCCTCCCTTTGGTCATATTTAAAGCTACACTTTCTGGTGGACTCCAGGTATACTGGATTACTTGCCACTGCCTTATGATGAGGGTAAGTTCTATTTGTTAAGCATCTTTTTCATTTATTTCAAAAGATTAAGATAATTCTTTTATAAAATAGCAACATAAAATGAACATAGCTATAAAATGAATTTTAAAATCATGTTCATTGAAGTATGGTGAATTAAACTAGGACACTGCTGAAGGCATCTGATTACATGTAGATTAAAATGTATGAAGTTGAGACTTTCTTGTCAAAGGGTGAATTTGGAGGCTTGTGTAACATTGGTGTGTAATTGTTTTGTTTAATCCATATAGCTATTCTTTGGTAGAAAATTAATTTTTAAATGGGCTGTAATGTAGGTTGTTTGAATTTTAGTGGCTTTAGTTTTTAGAAATTCCAGAGCCATAATATGGACAACACATACAGATAAGCAGTGTTCTCTTGAAAAAATGAGAAGAGATTTTGAGAATGTAACTGTTGGAAGAATCTTTTTTTGAGACCAGAAGATAATGCATTTTTTCCCAAATGCATCTGGTAATTTAGGACTCATTATTTTTTATGCTTGGTACTGCTGAGCTAAGTGTTCTGCAAAGCTCTGCTTTTTCACATTTGCCCTGCCTGGCCCTCCTGATTCTGTGCTCATACCTTTTGCCTTACTGCAACCAGAGCTGCTTCTAAGCTTTAGAGGGGCCTGAAAAAGTGTCCCCCAGTGGGCCCCATCCTCTGTCAGTGTACGCTGGCAGTCTACCTCCATACAGGGCTGTGCTCCTGTGGGCCTAGCACACTTTCAGTTTCTCACAGTGCCCCACAACAAGATAAGAGGCATTGTGGGAAATTAAAAGTGTGGCTAGAATTTGACTAACCAGCATTGCACATGGCCACAATTAACTGGGACGGGGAACCTTGGCACACATCAGTAAGTAGGGCCTGGCAAGAGTGCCGAGACCTTGCTACTGCGAAGAGTGTTGCTGATGCTGACCCTGAATACAATTTATCTGTGCAGCTTAGGCATTAATCTCCAGTCAGTCTTGCTTACAGCAGTAACCAGGTTGCACTGTGCTGGGGCACTCTCTTCTCCACAGCAGCTTCCTGCTGGCAGGCAAATGTGAATGTCAGTCTGACCCAGAGAGTGCTTTTCCAAGTAAAAAAAGGAATACCATACATTTTTTTCTCTGTTGGATGGACTCCACTAGAAGAATGATGATGAAGTTATTAAGATTCCAAGAGTAATACAATGAACTTTTCCAGTGTCCAAAAACTGATAATTTCTTGGAACTATGCCAAAGCCTTATAGCGTTCAGCTTGTTAAGAAGAGCACCAGAAATAATTGCCTTCCCCAGTCATTGGGTAGGTTATGGCTGCTTTTACTGTGAGAATGAAACAACTTTGTGCCCCCTTCCCATTTCCCAGGTTGGAAGGGTGGTGCCTATGTGCTGACAGCTACTGATACGGGGAAGAAAATGTCATAAAATCAGTTGCAAGAAACAATCTTTTGTTCTTGGCCTGCGGGGAGGAATTAAGGTGCTGCTCATTCAGAAAGCTCTGGGTATCCCTAGAAGATCCCTGGACCCATTCAGGAAACCAGTATAGCCATGGGGAAAGGGGATGTCAGCTTTCTTATATTCTGCATGCATGTTTGATAACTTTATTCAATACACTGTATCTCATCTTTGGCATACGGGGTTTTGTTTCTTCCTCAGTATCCTCAAATCTAAAGTGGGATGCTCTGGCTGGGCCCTAGCACCTTTGCACAATATATCACCAGCACTTTGTCCATAGAATGGATAAGAAGCTTTGCTGCTATGGATAGTTTGCTGCTATGGATATGGATATGCAATTTTTTTTAAAAAAGTGTTTGTGTGTGTAAGCTAGAGTGAATGAGAACATTCCTGCATAGTGCAGAGAAACATGCACATCATGCAAGTACTAAGGACTTGGTATTTGACATAGAGTAAGAGAACATTTATGAATGGCAGATCATTAATTCATAGTGCTGGGATTATAGTTTTTAGATTATGGCTGTAATGAACTTTTTGGTCCTATTTCTTTAGCTGCTTTGGGTGTTAGAAAAACAGTGTATAAATAAATGCCTACTTTCTGCCTTGACCACTAAGTTTTGGTTTGATATTATGTCAAGGTGGACATAAAAATGGTGCTGCTTTGGCAGGAAGAGGATTAGATGTTCTGTGAAGGAGTTTGGTCAGGTTAAAATTGTATTCAAGCATGATCAAAGGTACAGGATCCATAGTACATAACACCTTAGGGCAAAATGCAGTTGAGATGCCTGTAAACTTCTTAATTGGAGATTGTTGGGCATTCTGTGCAGAGTGAGAATGTCAGCAGAAAAGTCTTTGCCTCCCCACTTTTCTCACTCTGAACTTCTGTTTAGTGGGGTTGCTGCAGAGGATACAGGTTACATGACACCATGCCTTCTGCAGTCTCCTCCCTGCCTCCTTTTAGGCCTTTCTGAAGTTGAGTTCCTGACCTCAGAGAGGCAGCAGGTGTGGAGGATGACTGGAGCATGCATTCCAAGTTCCAAGGCTAGAGCTCTGTCTCCAACCTTAGACGTGGGAATATGAAGTGTTTTATGGCCTCCAGGTGCTGTCTAGGGGCCATTCAACCCCTCTCTGCACTTCATATTGGAGCGCGCGCGCGCGCGCGCGCGCGC